CTTTCCATGGTGTAAATACTCGCATGATGGCTGATTTCAAGCTACCACTGTGACACCACTGAATGAGGTGGGGAGAGATATGCTGGTACAAGGTCCCCTCAGCACACACTGCCATTATTTTAACCTCGCACTGAATGTGTTATTGGGGCAGTGAGTGAGAGAGAGAGGGAATTGATTAATAGAATACCTCACATGTGCCAGGCACAATAGTTTTCAGTCCCCCCGTCCTTCCTCCTTCATCCCTCAGCAAACCGCACATGGACCGCAGTCGCCTGGCCATGTGAGGAGGTGGTCTTCCGAGAGGCCAAGTGCCCTTATCTTGTTCCTCACCTGCCAGGCTGTCAGAACCTGGGCCTGTAGAGGAGAGTCTGAGGTCAGCCGACTGAGAAATAATCGGGCGGGCAAGCAGGAGAGACACGCTCACTTTCCACAGGAGACACACTCTCAGCAGACACATGCAAGGTTGAAACTGCCCCGGAGGAAACCAAGAAAGGTCTCAGTGGAACAGAGGGCCTGGAGGGGAGTGTGCATGAGTGCACGCGCACGTGCGTGCGTGCACACACACACACACACACACACACACTGCCAGCCTGTCTCTGGCTAGCCTAACTTGTGGCCTGAGAGGAGAGTGTGTACCTTGGGGATGGGGGGCTCTGCAGATCTCTGAAGGATTACAGAAGATGCAGGGGTCCTGCCAGGCCTCAGCCAGGTCAGCAGGGACAAAGACACGCTCCCTACACACGCAATCTCAGCACAGCTTCCCATACAGAGTAGACGCTCCAGAAATGTTTGTTATGCTTGTTATTGTTTTTAAGAATCGTGGTTTTTTTAGTTGATTTAATTATTTTGAGAGAAAGAGCATGGTTGGAGAAGGAGCAGAGAGAGAAGGGGAGAATCCAAAGCAGGCCCTGCGCTTTCAGGGCAGAGTCTGCTGGAGGGCCCAAATTCATGAACCCTGAGATCATGACTTGAGCTGAAATCAAGAGTCAGGTGCTTAACCAACTGAGCCACCCAGGCGCCTCTGTTTTTTTTTTTTTTTTTTAATTAATAAATGTCTTCTGTTCCTTTATAGCCTGATCCATTGCACACAGGCTATAAGGCACCTCAGTAAATACTTGTTGAATAAATAAGTAAGTCTCAGCCCTCTCCAGCTCCTGGTTTCATATGTACCTGACATAAAATGTAGCTAAATCTAAATGAGATGCAAAGGGCTCATAAAGGTTGCCAGTGATGGGGTTTTTTAAATTTCTTTTAGCTTTTTTGCATTTTTCAAATGTGTCTTCAAAGAACATGAATCGATGGATCCCTTTGGTTATTTAGAAAAAAAAAAACGACCTATATTATAAAAGTAACCTATAATAAAGAGTAGGACTGAGTGAAAACCCAACAGCTGTCCTCTCCACCCTGCAGTGCCTGAACCAGGGGCCCCGGACACGGGTGGGCCCAGCACGGGCCTCCTCATGCTTCAGGACGCCTTTCACAGCTGGGTTCTCTCTCTGCCTCTCTTTCCACAGGCCTCTCGCCCACCAGGCACTGACTAATAACGTTCCCCTCTGGTAGCAAGTCTTAGTCAGAAGTGGAAATAGAGGCGAGTCCTGAAAAGGGGAAATAGCGGGTCACGCCCAGGGCCACCAGCAAGTAAGAAGTCAGAGGCCTATGTCCCCAGCCCCACCCTGTCACTGCGGTTCAGGCAACTGTGCCCTCAGGCACCTGTGGCAACAGCCTGTGTCACCCTTGCAGCCACACGCCTCCTCCAGGGCATTGTGGGGCTCTGCTCCTTGCCGAGTGACAAATGTGTTGATTCCACTGCTCCCTGAGCTGCAGAGCTGCTCTGAGAACACAGAGCTGAGGGTGTTTCTGTGAAAGCATTTGCTGGGTTATAAATGAGCCATCCCCACATCAGGAGGAACCCGGCTTTTCCCGGTGACCCAGCTCTGCAGCTGGGAGCACCGTGGTGCATTTCCCCATTCTGTGCTAAACACACAAGTTGAATCTAGAAATGAGGGCTTAGGGGTAGGGAGAGGAAGTTCAGGAGGTTTGTGACAGAAAGCATACTTGTGTGTACATGTCTCTTCATTCCTCCATCAGCTGTGTCAGTGGTTCTGAGGCCCCCTGCTCTCTGTGATTCTAGAATGATCTGAGAGCTGGTTCTGAGGCTCCCTGCTCTCTGATTCTAGAGTGATTCTAGAGTCAGTTCTGAGTCCCCTGCTCTTTGTGATTCTAGAATGATCCTAGAGCTTGGTTCTAAGCCTCCTGCTCTCTGTGATTCTAAAGTGATCTTAGAGCTGGTTTTGAGCCCCCTGCTCTCTGTGATTCTAGAATAATCCTAGAGCTGGTTCTGAGGCCCCGTGCTCTCTGTGATTTTAGAGCAGTCCTAGAGCTGATTCTGAGTCTCCTGCTCTCTGTGATTCTAAAGCGATCTTAGAGCTGGTTCTTGCTCTCTCTGATTCTAGAACTATCCTAGAGCTGATTCTGAGCCTCCTGCTCTCTGTGATTCTAGAGTGACACTAGAGCTGGTTCTGAGCCCCCTGCTCTCTGTGCTTCTGGAGCAATCCTAGAGCTGCTTCTGAAGCCCCTGCTCTCTGTGATTCTAGAGCAGCCCTAGAGCTGGTTCCAAGCCTCCTTCTGTCTGTGATTCTAGAATGATCCTAAAGCTGGTGGGCTAAGAAGAGGCAAGCCCAGATGCCCACAGGGCTCTGTTTGCACTCTGTGGTACATGAGGAGATATAACCATGTTTCTGCAGAACCTAACTAATTAACTTTCTTTTATGTTTTTCTTTTTGGACAACTTTTATTCACATACTGCACAATTCACCCATTTAGAGTATCTGAGCCAGTGGTTTGTACACAAGATTGTAGAGCCATCATTACTGTTAATCTTAGAACATTTTTGTCACCCCAAAAGGAAACCCTGCATCCCTTAGTAGCACCCCAACCCCCTCCAGATTCCCCCAGCCCAAGGCAGGCATAAATTTAATTTTTTTCTCAATAAATTTTCCTGATCTGGACAAATGGAACAATATAATATGTGGCTGTGTCTGGCTTCTTTCACTCCATAGAACATCTTGTTGTAGTAGGTGTCCGTATTCCATTCCTTTTCATGGCTGAATAGTATTCCATTACCTGGTTGTAACAAATTTTGTTTATCCATTTACCAGTTGATGGTTATCTGGGTTGTTTCCACTGTGGGGCTATTACAAATAATGCTACTATGAACATGTGTGTACAAGTTTTGTGTGGACATACACGTTCATGTCTCTTAGGCTATATAACTGATTTTTTAACACTGAATAGCTGATCATGTCTCTTTGCTTAAAAACTCTTCAGCAGCTGGGGTACCTGGGTAGCTCAGTCAGTGAAGCATCCAGCTCTTGATTTCAGGTCATGATCCCAGGGTTGTGGGATCAAGCCCCGTGTCAAGCTTCATACTGAGCATGAAGCCTGAGGCCTGCTTGGAATTCTCTCTCTCTTCCTGTGCCCCTTCCTTGCTCTAGCTCTCTCTCTCTCTCTCTTAAAAAAAAGAAAAGAAAACCTTCATGGGGCACCTGGGTGGCTCAGTCATTTAAGCCTCCGACTTCAGCTCAGGTCATGATCTCTCAGTCCATGAGTTGAAGCCCCACACTGGGCTCAGTGCAGACAGCTCAAAGCCTGGAGCCTGCTTCAGATTCTATGTCCCCCTCTCTCCCTCCCCCTCCCCCACTCGTACTCTGTGTGTGTGTGTCTCTCTCTCTTTCTCTCTCAAAAATAAATAAACATGAAAAAATCATTTAAAAGCTGTTCGGTAGCTTCCCTTGTTTTAAAATTTTTTAATGTTTATTTTTTGAGAGACAGAGAAAAACAGAGGGCGAGTAGGGGAGGGGCAGAAAGAGGGAGACACAGACTCTGAAGGAAGCTCTAGGCTCTAGGCCCTCAGCACAGAGCCCAATGTGGGGCTCAAACCCACAAACCATGAGATCATGATGACCTGAGCTGAAGTCTGACACTTAACGGACTGAGCCACCCAGGTGCCCCAGCTTCCCTTGTTTTTAAAATCAGGTTCAAAATCGTTACTTGGTCCACAAGGTTTACAGCTTCTGGGCTTTCCCGCTGGTCCTCCTGTTTCAGCCAAGAGGTTCCTTGGACACCCAGCGCTTCCTGCTTGACAGCCTGGGACTTTCTTCCCCCCACCCCCCAACCCACCCTGCTGCCTCCTCTGGCCCTTTGTTTAAGCCCCATCCTGAGGTCGCAGCCAAAATACCCCTTCCTCAGGGAAGCCTCTGCAATGACTCTGATCAGGTTGGGCCCACACGCTCTCATGGGACTCCTCCATACATCTTCGTCCCTCAGTAATGACCAAATGATGGCTTGTGTGATTATCTGCTTAACGTTTCTCCCTTCTGCCACATAAGCTCCAGGAAAGCGGGGCGCCCATCAGCCACCCCGGCCCGTGGCATAGTGCCTGGCACACTTAGGCCCTTAACAGATATTGGTCAGATGTGTAACAGATAATGATGGCAGCAAACAAGCCACTTGTTTTGAGGCTTCCTTTTGCCTTGGGGTCAAAGATGATGAGGAAACACAGGAAGTGCTCTCTCAGACCCCCTTCTCACCCCCCAACTCACCCAAGTGACCTCTGCTTCAGCAGGAGTGGATCTGGGGGAGCCCCCCATCCTAAAATAACTAGCAGCCCATCGGGTGCCGGCTCACTCTTGGACCCTCTTTCGGGACTAGGGAACTCCCTGCAGCATGAGACGCGGGGCACCTCTAACAGCCGGGGTTATCGCGGCCCAGGTTTTCGCAGTCCGTCCCCTGGTCTAAGATGAGCAGCGTCATTGAGGCTGTAGCTCCCGCGGGTGCAAGGAGCTGCGTCAGGACAAACGCTGTTCCCTTCCCCAAAGACCCTCGCCTTTCTGCGCGTCTCGTGTCAAAAGCTGCCCTGGAGGAAATTGCAAGAGGAAACTGTACACCTTCTGAGACTTAATTGCTTTTTCAAAAAAACCCTGTTTTCATTTCCCCCACAGATATGCACTTATTTGGCCATTATCCGGCACATGACGACTTCTATCTCGTAGTGTGCGGCGCCTGCAATCAGGCCATCAAGCCGCAGGTGTTCCAGGCGCACTGCGGTAAGTGGACCCCGCGCCCCGCGACAGCTCCCGCGCGGGGCTGGCCCTGTGCCTGCCCTAGGCCAGGGCGCTGGGTTAACTCTTCCTGCGGCTCTGCCTCTGCTCCCAGAGGAGCTCTTAGGAGCCGCCGGCCTTCTTCGGAAAGGCTCTGTCCCGGGAGACCAAGTGAGAGAAACCCTGCAGCCCATTTAGGGAAACGGAAGCACAGGGGAGCCATCCGCCCAGCCTCTCGGTGGCCTCCGACAGTGACCAAAGGAAGGGAGGAGCGGGGGCTTGAGGAATCGCTCCTGCAGCGACACCGAGCCCCCTGGCAGACAGGGCCAGATCCGGTCTCCTGGGGTTCACACAAAAAGGGGCTGGAGCCAAGGGCCGCCCAGTGTGGGGGCTGTTGGAGTCCTGCCCCAAGGAAATGCCTGATACTTGAAGCCTCAGGTTTAGTTTCTTTCTCCAAGAATGCTCTGTTTGTGTCTGGGAACCTGCTTTGCCTCTGTAGCTTTACACCCTTGGTCTGGCAAATTCCCTTCAGTAGGTCAACAGCGAACCCTAGACCCCCTTCCCTGCAGGTGCCTGGAGGTACAACAGATAAAGGCTGCATGCCTGCCCCAGCAGCTGCTGACCTTAGACAGGCAGTTACTTAAACCCTCTGGATGCAAGTTTCCTTATCTTTTACATGGGGTGTTGGACCAGATGATCTTCAAAGCTGTGATATGCTGTGAATTCCAGAATGGTTATTTCCCAATCTTCTTATTTAAGCCAGACTCCCTTTTGATGAATGTAATGTCGCAGCGCCCCCTTTTACTGTTACATCTCAAAGCACGTTACATGTTGTGGCTAAAAAAAAAAAAAAATCAAAGCGGTAATAGTATTGAGTATGCTTTCATAAATGACACATCTCCCCCTTTCTCATGCTCAGAATTTCTGACTTTCCCCCACCCCTTCAGTTATCACTATTCTGTAATAAATAGGTTTAAAATGTAAACGTATTTAGGCCTTTAGAATAGCTTTTATTTATTCCAGTATCATTTGTGAATATGTATACATGTATATGACATGTACATATCTAAATATATACACTCTATCAGTGTGTGTGTGTATATAGTGGGCATATTTTGTGTTGTTAATACACAAAGAGAATCCAGGATATAGGGGCACTTTGCAAGACTTTCTTACCTACACAAGGTGGAGAGAGGCCCCTACATAAAGTGAAGGCCCCTACAAAGAGCTCTGTTCTTAGGGGCCAAGTCCCGGTGTCCTGACAGCCAGCTCTGTGAGCTTGAGCTACCTGTTGAATGTCTTGGGGCTTGGGTTTCCCTTATCGTCCACGAGGAGTGATTTCCACAGGTGCTTCTAACTCTAACATTTTCCTTTCTGGCTGAGTGAGCATGAAAGGAGTAAGTTGTGTGCTCGGCACGCACTGACCTTCTTGCTCAGTGCTCTGTAGCAAATGACCCTCCCTTCCTCCGAGAAGGGAGAGAAAAGGTCAGACCTTTCCGACAGGAAACTGTCAGAGACCGAGAGGCGGTGCGACCAGCTAAGGTGACAGGTGGGAGAATTGAAAGCAGAGGAGCAGCAGGAAGATCCCACACAGCTAGTTGCTCAGGGAATCACCGTGGAATCTGTGTGGCCAGTTGCTCATGTTGGTCTCGTGATGGTGCATAGGCTGGATCACCCTGAATGGGATGGGTGGTCATTCATCCACAGGGATGTGCCGCTGTTCTGGGCAGTGGGATATGCCTGCAAACAAGGCAGACGAAAATCCCATAAGCCATCAAAAACCTTCACTGGGAACTTAATTCATTGGCAGAGTTTTTGATGGAAGGAACCAGGAAGGGACCTGGATCCCCACTATGCCCTGTAGAATTCTGGCCAAGGCAAGGAGGGCCTCACCTAGCCAGTGAAGGGGGCCTCAACGGCTTGGCTCAGCTGATCCACGTGCCTCCCTCTGTCCTAGGCCTTTGGGTTAAGGAGCCACGTCGAGCTTAGGGGAATGGCCAACGGTTTCATGGCCATTTCCTCTGAGCAGTGGCAGTAAATTAGTCTGGGGGGGTTGGTGTGCCTGGCCCCATCACTCGAAGCCCAGACTCCATTGGGCTTCTTGCTAAAGCAGCTGACAAGTAGTGATGGGAACAGAACCAAAACTCAGTAGATTGAGGCATCAACACCTCCCTTGTCTTTCAGGTGTGTGTCCTGTTGATCCACAGCCCATATTTATCAAGACCAAGAGAATGCAAGGCAGGGCTCAGAACCACAGCAATTCTTCAGGGGGTAGTGAAGATTTCTTAGTTTCCCTGAGAATTCTTTCTGTGGTTTCATGATATTTCTTTTCATGCTGTTTTGTCTCCTACGACTTGCCTTGGTCTCTTCAACAAGTTAATAAGAATGACACTGTGCTAAATGCCGGGTACTGGGCTGTGCGCTTTCCCTATCTTTGAGTTTATAATCCTCTCAGCGGCCCTACGAAGGAGGGACTGGTACAATCCCCGTTTTGAACGTGAGGCTGCTCATGAGCGCCCTGCCTGAGGTCTCAAAGTGAGGCAGATGTAGAGCCTGATTTGAGATGCAGGCAGTGTCACTCCAGAGTGAGGGGAGTACAGAGTCCGCTGGCTTAGCCATCGTCCCTTGCCGCCTCTCTGTATGCCCTCCCTGCCCTGCCCCGACTCCAAGACCTGCCCCATTCACTCCCCACGGGATGCATGAGGAGACAGGCCTTCCAACTCTATTTAGTTCTAGCAGCAGAACTTTTCTTCGAAAGGAATCTCATGAAGGAACCCCCTCCTCATCTATAAATATATATGCAAAGCAGAGCCGCTGGGGTTGAACTTTGTATAGAGGCTCGAGCCCCACCTACCCAGCCTCTCCTAACTTCCAACCTTCCAGGGCTCCATAGAACAGCATTTGAAGTTTGTTGTAATGGAGAGGACAGGGAGCTGGAGGCAGACAAAGCAATTCACATTAACTATGTGACCTTGGGCAGGTCGCCTCTGTCTTTCCACCTTGTCTGCCTCGCGGAGTCATTGGTGCAGAATAACTGGTTTGCAAATACACCCAGAGCCCAGGTTCATTGCCTCCCTCTTCCCGCATGGCCTCATTTCCCCATTGGACATGATGGGACATGATTCATCCCTCTTTGTAACCACAGACTTCTGCTGTGCTCTGCCACTTCCCACCTTCTGCCGCGCACTTCAGTTAGCTGTGGACTCTCTCGGTACATCTGCCAGATTCTCAGATCCTTCCAGGACCGGAGATGTGCATTTTTAGCCCTGTGTTCCCAGTCAGCCCCCAGAAATGAGCCCATCATCATGGGCCCTGACCCCAGGAAGCAGAGCAACGGTGCAGGGAGAGACATACCTAGGGGCCAGTACGCCTGGGGCCAAATCCCAGCTTAGCCCTGCCTGGCCCTGAGACCCTGGACTTGTCATGTTTTAAATGACATGGGACTGGACCATATGTTCTCTTAGAAATTTATTCTCAGTACATGTGATTCGGCTCCTGGATTGTACGGGTCCTGGCATATACAGGGAGATGGGTGAATGGCAATATGCGAGATCTCAGTGTCCTGGGTGTTTAAGTGAAATTGAAAAAATACACACGTGTATTTAGGCATTTGGCTCTGGGAACTTTGAAGGTTGATGATAACATGAAACACTGAAAGCCTTAGTGGAAAAATCATGAATTTTGGAGTCAAACAGACCCAGGTTAGAATCTTGACTAACAGTTACTCTCTGTGTAACCTTGGGCTAATTGCATGACCTTTCTGAGCCTCATTTTCCTCTAAAATGAAGCTGACAGTTCCTGCCTCTCAGAGTTACTGTGAGGAACAGAGATATAGTAGAGTTCCCTGGCACATGGGAAGGGAATAAAGAAAGGGGCACTATTATTGTCAATAAAGTGTGGCTATTTCTTATTAAGTTGAATGTTTCTTATGAAAAATGGGAAAACCGATTCGGTCAAATACATCCTGTCTTCGTTTCTTGCCCCCTCTCTGGAGACATGCACACCGAGGTCAGCCTACAGTCGCTGCCCTGTGATTCATCTTCAGCCTCACTTGCTCTCAGAGGCAACAATTGTCAGCCTGAGGATGATTACATTGCCAGGAGTCCTGAGGGTCAGGCTTTATAAATACGGTTTACATTCACATGAGGCCCCAGCGTCAGCTCCTTTGGAAATACTGTGAAGCTCCCGGTACCTGTCTGAGGTCCCTGCCAGGGTCCATCCTGCTCTGGCTGCCTGGCCGTACAGAATCCTCACTTCCAGGGCTCTCTGCATTCCTGTATCTCCTCACTTTGGGCCCCACACTGATGTCCCAGACACAAAAAGCAGATGTGCCCAGAGGCAAGACCCTGTGCTTGGCATGGAGGTGGAGTCTCCCTGGGGGCCACCCTCTGGGCCACCCCACCTCTGTGGCCCCCTGAGGTCTACTTCCTGAGTCCATGCAAGCGTCCTTTAGATGCTTTTTAAACCCCTGCTCATTTTGAGGGATAGCTTTGTTTCTAAATCCCTTTAGGTGAGTAAATGAGGTTATTTAGGAATAGTCACAGAAAGGGAGGAACAGAAACAAAGCTTGCCTTGGAGACCCTGATCCCACTCAGTAGGCATCCCTGGCCCTCGTAGCTGTCCAGCCCAAGGTGTAGCTCAATACACTGCCATGACGTGATTGCCTCGTGCTTGGGAATATCCTCTCTGGAGTAAGTCTGCTTGGAATCAAGTCCCAGCTCTACCATTTATTAGCTGTGTGACCTTGAGCAGGGTCCTTGGCCTCTCTGTGCTTCGGTTTCCTTATTCTTAAAATGGGTAGAGTGGTTTACCTCATGAGGTTGTTGTAATGATTAAAAGAATTTGCATTTGGAAATTACTTAGTACAGTTGCGAAACAAAGTTTGCTTTCAGAAGAAAAAAGTTGGGGGACGCCTGGGTGGTTCAGATAGTTAAGTGTCTGATTTCAGCTCAGGTCATGATCTCGCTGTTCTTGAGTTTGAGCCCCATGTTGGGCTCTCTGCTGTC